CCCCACAGCCAGCACCAAACTCTGTGAGATCCCCTTGGCCCACCCCTCAGGTTCCTAAAATGATTAGGGTTTCCTGGGCTGAGAATTTTTAGGTCTAGGCTAAAAAGTCCTGGAACAGACTCACGGAGTTCTTTATGTAAAATGACGAGTGTGCTGGTGACTCAGAGCAGGCACTGCACTCGCACTCCAGGGTCTTTTGCACCAGATGGAAAGGAGCAAGCGTGTGGGTCACGCAGAGTCCCTGCATCCTCGCTCCAGACACTGCTCTTTGGTTTCTTAATTAAAAGCCTAAAAGCCTTGATAATGAAAATGCATTCTCCCCAGAGAGTAGTCATTGTTCCTGGGAAGGCTTTAGAGATATTCAAAAGGACTTGGGTGTTGTGATCTAAGCTCTTTCTTCTTTAGGGGACATCTCAAGCCCAGTAACACTGTGGTTCTTGCGGGCTCACACAGGGACTACCTTGATGGTCTTGGACAACATGGTCTTCCAGAATTTTCTGAATTATCTAGCAGAGGCTCTTCTTCTTTTACTTTCTCCCAAACAAATGGAGTCTTTCTGTGTGTTTGTGTGTGTGTGTGTGTGTTCTGAGACACACGAAAGTGAAGTGGAGTGACACAAACATCTCTGTGGCCATGACCACTAAGACTGTACTGGGTCAGACCTGAATCTAGCAGAGGGCTTGATCTCACCCAAGGCCTGGCATCAGTTTCCTGGTTACTGTGTAATACCCAACCTTGTTTTAACCTGAATTGACTCCCCCTTAGCTGAGAGAGCCAGACAGACTCCATCTTGGCTCCTTCACTTACAGCCCCTTGCCCACCCCCTTCCTCAAAGACTTAACTTGTGCAAGCAGACTCCCAGCACATCCAAGGTTGCAATTAACTAATAAGATACTGTAGCAAGCTATATCTGCAGTTCCTAAGAATTCACCCAGTTGATAGCACCCAAAGTCCCTGCGTCTGTCACCTTGTAATGGATTTAAAGCCCCTTCACCTGGAACTGTTTGCTTTCCTGTAACCATTTATCCTTTTAACTTTTGCCTGCTTTACTTCTGTAGGATTGTTTTAACTAGACTCCCCCTGCTCTCCTTTCTAAACCAAAGTATAAAAGAAAATCTAACCCCTTCTTCAGGGCCGAGAGAATTTTGAGCACTAGCCATCTCTCCACTGCCAGCTAATAAAGGATTCCTGGATTCGTCTCAGCGTGTGGTGGTTTTCTGTAACTTGCTCAGTTACAACAGCTGTCTATGTTCATTCAAGGCACTGTGGCTCTGCAATCAGCAGATGAAAAAGTCAGCCAGGCCTCGATTACTGCCTTCAGTTTAGCAAGTTTCTTTAGGCCCTAGATTGGTTCAGAGGTGCTATACAGGAGTCAGGGACTAAAATAAAAAACTTCAGAAAGCTAAGGTTTTGGCAGTGAGAATTTGGCAGAAGAGTGTGGAATAGATCTTTAAAATGGCAAAAGTTTCTAAAAAAGATTGAAACCTGATGCAAAAAACAATAGAGAAATATACAAAAGATAAATTATGTTCATGCTCATTTTATTTATTTATTTATTTATTTATTTATTTATTTACTTATTTACTTATTTATTTATTTTTGAGACAGGATCTTGCTCTATCAGCCTGGCTGGAGTGTAGTGGCCTGAACTCTGCTCACTGCAAGCTCTGCCTCTCGGGTTCAAGTGATTATCCCACCACAGCCTCCCTAGTAGTTAGGAATACAGCCTCATGAAATGATATCTGGCTAATTTTTGGTATTTTTAGTAGAGACGGGGTTTCGCCATGTTGGCCAGGCTTGTCTTCACCTCTTGGCCTCAAGTGGTCCGCCCACCTTGGCTGGCCTCCCAAAGTACTGAGATCAAACTGGGAGGCGGAGGTAGCAGTGAGCCAAGATCATGCCACTGTACTCCAGTCCTGGTGACAGTGCGAGACTCCATCTAAAAAAAAAAAATATATATATATATATATAAAATATATATATACTATACATAATATATATATTATATATATAAAATACATTCATACAGCCAACAGACACATGAAAAAATGCTCATCACTCACCATCAGAGAAATGCAGATCAAAACCACAATGAGATACCATCTCACACCAGTTAGAATGGCCATCATTAAAAAGTCCAGAAACAACAGGTGCTGGAGAGGATGTGGAGAAATAAATAGGAACACTTTTACACTGTTGGTGGGACTGTAAACTGGTTCAACCATTGTGGAAAACAGTGTGGCAATTCTAGAACTAGAAATACCATTTGACCCAGCCATCCTGTTACTGGGAATATACCCAAAGGATTATAAGTCATGCTGCTATAAAGACACATGCACACATATGTTTATTGCGGCACTATTCACAATAGCAAAGACTTGGAATCAACCCAAATGTCCATCAGTGACAGACTGGATTAAGAAAATGTGGCACATATACACCATGGAATACTATGCAGCCATAAAAAAGGATGAGTTCATGTCCTTTGCAGGGACATGGATGCAGCTGGAAACCATCATTTTCAGCAAACTATCGCAAGAACAGAAAACCAAACACCGCATGTTCTCACTCATAGGTGGGAATTGAACAATGAGATCACTTGGACACAGGAAGGGGAACATCACACACCGGGCCTATTGTAGGGAGGGGCAGAGGCAGGAGGAATAACATTAGGAGATATACCTAATGTAAATGAGGAGTTAATGGGTGCAGCACACCAACATGGCACGTGTATACATATGTAACAAACCTGCACTTTGTGCACATGTACCCTAGAACTTAAAGTATAATAAAAGAAAAAGTAAAATAAATAAAATACATGTTTTCAGTCATGTAATGTATATGTGTGTATTCTTTTTATATGCTATATATTATGTGTATATTATTTATAATATATAGATAAAATATACATTATATATAGAAACAGACAAAATATACATTACAAACACTCATTCACACACATGTGCCATGTGGTCTAAGATATTGCAGTGTGGCAACATGTACACATTTCACAAGTTTACGTCTTTGAGTTATTCCGGAAGACTGTTATCACCTCTGGCAAGGAAGTTTCATTAGGAGGTTAACGGGTTCTAATATACATGAAACGGTTGACTACTGCCTTGTTTGTTACCCGGAGGCCCTAAGCAATCAGGAAGACAGGAAGAAAATTTCTGCTTTTGGTAACGTTTGCAGTGCATTTCATAAGTGTCATTAATGTCACAGGGTGAGATTGAAAAGCTTCTGGGGATATATGGAAAATCAATGGGGGGCATTATAACAGTGAAATAGCATGAGGTTGTGTGTGTGTGTGTGTGTGTGTGTGTGTTAAATAATGTATGAAGATTGTGAGTAGATGCCCAAGTGGTGGAGAAGAGAGAAACAGTATCTCTGTGAACTGGAGAAAGGACTGTGGAGGGAAGGGCTGCAGTGTAAACTGAAGAAACTGTTTTAATGAAAATCTGTCAGACAGTAGAGGTACAGGCAGCACTGCTTAAATCCCAAGGGAAAAAGGAGAATGTATTTTTGTGTAGAACCTGTTTCTAATACCTGAAGCACCTTCACCTACTTCCAGGTGAGCACCAACAATGGCCCCAATTCATCTTCAAGTGGATTATTATCAAAATACATCATTACGATACTAACAGGTCATGGCAGGTGTTATAAATTGTGTCCCCACAAAAATTCATATTTTAAAACCCTAACCCTTCATTCCTCAGAATGTGACTATACTTGGAGATAGGGCCCTTCAGTGGGTGATTAAGTTAAAATGAGACTGCTAGAGTGGGCCCTAATCTAATCTAACTGGTCCCCTTAAAAGAAGAGGGAATATAGACTTACCGAGACACCAGGGATGTGCATATACAGAGGAAAGACCATGTGAGGTCACAGCAAGAGGGCAGCCATCTGCAAAGAAAAAAGAAGAGCTTCATAAGCGTGTTAGTCATTGTCGCAGTGCTATAAAGAAATACCCAAGACTGGTAATTTATAAAGGAAAGAGGTTTAATTGACTCACATGAGGAGGCCTCAGGAAACTTAGAATCATGGCAGAAGGGGAAGCAGGCACCTTTTTCACAAGTGGCAGGAGACAGAAGTGTGAAGTGTGAGCACAGGAAAACTCACTTTTAAAACCATCAGATTGTATGAGACTCACTATCGCAAGAACAGTATGGGAGAAACAGCCCCCATAATGCAACCACCTCTCACCAGGTTCCTCCCTTGACACATGAGGATTACAATTCAAGATGAGATTTGGGTGGGGACATAGAACCAAACCATGTCAATAAGAAACTGAGCCTGCTGACACCTTGACTTGGACTTCTGGCCTCTAGAATTGTGGGAAAATAAATTTTTGCTGCTTAAGCCACCTAGTTTGTGGTATTTTGTTATGGCAGCTCAAGCAAACTAATTCAACGGGCAAACAAAATACAAAGGCTGTGACTGTGGTTGGTAGAGTGTTAGAAACACACATAAATCCTTGGGGTATTCAGACACAAGTGAGAGAGAGCTCAGCACTAGAATTTACTGGACTGAACACGGGAATTAGAGAATGCTAAGAACATTTAGATTATGATTTTGAATGTGATCATTTGTAAATCAAGGTAACAGATAACACACATTGAACTTAGGGGATTCACTTAACATAGGAGTTAAGAATATGGACCCAGACATCTTAGTTTTGAATTCTGGTCCTGTGCATGATTCTGGATAAGTTGCTTGGCCTCTGTCTCTTGGCTTCTGCATCTGCGGAGATAATATGGCTAACTGCATATGGTTTTCATAAGGATTAAATAAATTAATATGTATAAAGCATTTAAACAGTTCCAGGAACACAGTGATATACATAAGAGTTAGCTATCATTTTATTATTGTCATTATGAACAGACACTGCTCAAAATACTTTATTAGAAACAATTTTCACAAAAATTACTTGGGCAACTGAGATATGGTGAGATAAATTAACTTACTCAAGATCACACCATTAATAAGTAATGGAACCAGTATTTCACCCATAGGTTATTTATTGTACTCCATAGAAACAAAGCCATTATTTACAAATGACTAAAAATGATGCCAAGTAGATGATTATATAAGTGTATATGTTTACTAGGTTCACATTAATGCAAGTGATTTCTCCAAATGAAAATTTACAAATAAAATAATGTGTTCATTATTTACCTTAGTAGTAAAATAAATTTTCTGTTTAAAACAGTGAAGTATTCACTAAACTTGCCTATTTTTCAAAAGACATTTATTCATTATTAGTAAATAGTCAATGATAAGTATTAAATGAGGAAGCAGAAAAAGTAGACAGAAAAAAACAACTTTCAGAATGTATTTGGAATGCTTAACTGTATGCATTTTTTATTTTCTTTATTTTTGATTCTCAATTTTTTTTTAAGAAATAGAAATACCTGAATCTCAAATTGAACAGTGCATTATTAAAGAAAGACTGATTGCATTGTTTTGTTTACAAGTCCGTTAATTCATAAACAAGTGCATTTGATAGAAGAAGGCATCTTATGTTTTCTTTGGTGTACACGCGTTTGGATAAAGAAACACTTCCTCTCTTTCTTTAAGTACAATATTATACCTGCAAAGAGGTGGTCTGAGAAAGAGAAAAAGGGAAAGAACAAAAAAATAACTATTAGTAAAAAACAGAGTTGATGTCCTTCTCTCATAAATATTAGAATAGTCCATGCCTGTAACTAGCTAGTTCTCAAAATGTAGGGAGTTGGAACAAATCTATGGGATCATTTCCATTCTATCTCATTTGGCTGTGTAGGGATGAAATAGACATAATGCTTATAAGAAAGAAAAAAATCTGTTTCAACTTCTTTTCTCACTGCCTTATTGGAAAACTCAATTGTATGAGAAAACTTAATTGTATGAGAGGTACAGTTAGATACTGATGCAGTTGAAACTTGAACTCAACTCAGTATCCAGGCCATTCCTTCCATCATGATGGTCACCAGAAGAGAGTCAGGGTGAATCGCATAGACAAAGTTTGCCGAAGCAACTTAATCAATCCTCTTATGCCACCTACTAAAATGGAAATAATAAGTCCTAAAGTATTCTATATCTTGGACAGATTTTATATTTAATATTTCAAGCTTCCCAAGAAGCCAAGTCACTGCAGCACTGTTCACATATTTATAATAAAATAGTAAGACAAGTGTGTTTTCTTTTTTCTACAATTGACTAAAAGCTCATGACCTTATTAGCATAGCATTGAATTATCTTCTATTCATACATATATAATAAATACATATTTTTTGAAATATTCTATATTTTACAAAGCCTCTACAAGCTTTACAAAACAGCTTAGGCAGGTACACAAGGCCTATCAATGTTAAATTTTACCAAAACCTTTGAGAAAAAATAATTTGCTGTCCTTTTACATTGTAAAAGTTCATCTAGTGTCACTGTCATGAATTTTGATATATTTTTTATCTTATGTTTAATAGTTCCTTCTCCCAGGCAATAAAAATAAAAACACTATAATTTTGTGACATATTTTGAATTACCAAGGGAAAATAATATTATATATTTATCTTTCTAATTTCAAAATGCATGTTGAATTTGTACTTCTAATGCTATGCTTACCACACATTACCAAAAATGAGCACATTACATTGATAAAGTATAAGATTGATCTAAAATAATAAAAAAGAAATCAAGTAATAAAATTTTTTAAAATTCAAATACAATCTAGTTTTCTATTTTAATCCATATATATTATATCAAAGTACAAAAAATATATAAGCTTCTTTACTTCAAAAATCTCCTTAAGGCTTTTGCTCAACCTATCACCACATCTATCCATTTAGTATTCTCTTTTTTTTGCCATTAATATAGAGGCCCCTCAATTTGACTTCATTTTTTTATTTATTTGCTTGTTTTAAATTCATAACATTATATGTATTCATTGTGTACATGGTGTTTTGAAGAATAAATACATTGTGGAATGGTTAAATATAGTTAATTAAAATACACATTTCTTAATATAGTTATTTTGCAGCAAGAGCATTCAACACCTACTCTGCATTTTTCAGGAATATAATATTTTGCAGCACGATAAATCACGATAAATCTCTTGAACTCATTCCTTCTATCTAACTGTAATTTTCTATCCTTTGACCAACATCTCCTTAACACCTTCCCCTCCCAACTGCCCAGCCTCTGGTAACCATGATTCTACTCTCTGCTTCTATGAGATCAACTTTTTCAGATTCCACATGTGAGTGAAATCCTACAGTCTTCGTCTTTCTGTGCCTGACTTATTATACTTAACATAATGTCCTTCAGGTTCATTCATGTTGTTGCCAATGATGGGATATCCATCTTTATTATGTCTGAATAGTATTCCAATTTATAGATCTCTATCATCTATCTGTCTCTTTATAGGTGATATATATATACACACACATATATACTATATTTTTCTTACTGCTTCATCCACTATTGAAATCTTAGGTTTATTTTTTATCTTGGTTATAGTGACTAATGCTGTAATAAGCATGGAAGTGCAGATATCTCTTCAACATACTGATTTAATTTCCTTTGATATATACCCAGCAGTGGAATTGCTGAATCATATATTTATTCTATTTTTAATGTTTTTAGGAACTTCCAAACTGTTTTTCCTAACAACTATACTAATGTACATTCTCATCAGTAGTTATCAACCATTCCTTTTTTCCATGTTCTCACCAACATTTATTATAACTTTTGTCTTTATGGTAATAGCCATTCTTACAGTAGTGAGGTGATACCTCTTTGTGGTTTTAATTTGCATTTCCCTCATGGTTAGTGACATTGAACACTTTTTCATATACCTGTTGGCCAATTGTATGTCTTCTTTTGAAAAATGTCTTTTCAGATCCTTTGCCCAATTTTTAATTAGGTTATTTGTTTTCTTGATATTGAGTTGTTTGAGTTCCTTATATATCTTGGAGATTCATCTCTTATCATATATATACTTTGCAAATAATTTCTCCCATTCTGTAGATTGTCTCTTACCTCTGTTAATTATTTCCTTTGATGAGCATAAGCTTTTTAGTTTAACGTAATCCTATTTGTCTATCTTTGCATTTGTTGCCTGTGCTTTTGAGGTCATATCCAAAATATCATTGTCCAGACTGATATCAAGAAGATTTTCCCTATATTTTCTTCTAGCAAGTTTATAGTTTCAAGTCTTAGATTTTAGTCTTTAGTACATTTGGAGTTGATTATTTTTTTTTTTGTATAAGGTATGACATAAAGGTCTAATTTTATTCTTTTGAATGTGGATATACAGTTTTTCCAACACCATTTATTTTTATTTTGTTTTTTTAAAGTAGTAGATTCAGGGGGTACATGTGCAGGTTTGCTACAAGAATATATTGTGTAATGATGAAGTTTAGGTTTCCTGTGTACCCAATCACCCAAATAGTGAATGTTGTACTCAGTAGGTAATTTTTTAATCTACATCCTTCTCCCACTGTAATCTCTTTTAGAATCCCAGTATTGATTATTTCCCCCTGTATTTCCATGTGTACCCACTCCAACACTATTTATTGAAGAGACTGTCCTTTCTCTACTGTGTGCTCTTGGAACCTTTGTTGAAAATTAATTTTTAAATGGGTGAATTTATTTCTAGGCTCTCTCTTCTGTTCCACTGGTCCACATCTCTGTTTTTATGCTAGTATTATACTACTTTGGTTACTATAGCTTTCTAATATATTTTGAAGTTATTTGGTGTGATGTCTCTAGCTTTGTTCTTTTTGCTCAAGATTGCTTTAGCTATTTAAAGTATTTTGTGGTTTCATAGAAATTTTAAGATTTTTTTTCTATTTCACTGAAGAATTTCAATGGTATTTTGATGGAGATTTCATTAAACCTGTAGATCCCTTTGGTTATTATGGACATTTTTAACAATATTAACCCCTCCAAGCTACAAACATGGGATATCTTTCATTTATTTGTGTCTTCTTCAATTTATTTCATCACTGTTTTACAGTTTTCTGTGTAAGAATTGTTAACCTTTTTGGTTAAATTTATTCCTAGGTATCTTATCATCGTATAGCTATTGTAAATATATTTGTGTTCTTGATTTATTTTTCAGATACTTTGCTATATTGCATTTTCAAAGCTATCTTTGAGAATGTTATATTAGTATTTATATATATTCATGTATTTTGTTTTTAAAAATCGAATCATACTCTTATAAAACATCATGCTTTTCTCACCAGGCAATATCTTATGAATCTTTTCATGAATATAAAGAAACATTTAAATATATAAAAAAGAAAAATTAATTCTTGTATATTGATTTTGTATTCTGCAACGTAACTTATTCCTAATATTCTTTTAAAATATTACTTGGATAAGGTTTCCAGCAATAACCAGGGAAAGGAATAGTGCCTGTTTCCACCTGCCATGTGAGAAAACCCAATTCATAGTTCACTGGATAAGGCACACAGAAGGGTCTTCTCTAAGTAGTGGGAATCATTACACCTAGACTGAGCACTTATCCAAGTTAGCTTAATAAATTTTGAAAGCAGGACCTGAAAGGTGTAACCCCAGTAACATTTTGTAGGAATACAAAATATAGAACATTCAATAAGATACATTCACAGCATCTATGATGTAATTGAGAATTACTAAGCATTGCAAAGCTGGAAAATGGACCCATATAAGGTGAAAAATCAACCAATTGAAACCAACCCAGAACTAGCACAAATGTGAGACTCAGCAGATAAATGCATTAAAACAGTTATTATACCTTTACTTCAGATGTGGAGACATGAGAGATACGAAGAGGTGAGAACTATGATGTTTGAGATGAATAATACACTTACGAGATTAAAAGCAGATTAGATATTGCAGAAATAAATCAGTGAACTTAATAACATAGCAACAGAAACTATTCAAAATAAAATGCAAAGAGAAAATAGAATTTTAAAATTAACAAAGCTATCTATCATCACACTGTTGTACTATCAAATATTAGATATTACTTCAAGTAGCCAAAAATACTTAAAATTGGAATCCTCAAAAGGAGAAGTTGTAGAGGAACACAGAAAAAAACTTAAAAAAATGGCTGGAAATTTAGATGAAACTTGATGAAAACTATAAACCCACTGTATTATTCTGTTCTCACACTGCTATACAGAACTGCCCAAGATTGGGTAATTTATAAAGGAAGAGGTGTAATTGACTCACAGTTCAGCATGGCTTGGGAGGCCTCAGGAAATGTACAATCATGGCAGAAGGCCCCTCTTCACAGGGTAGAAGGAGAGAGAATGAGTGCCCAGCAAAGGGGAAGCCACTTTAAAAACTTTCAGATCTTGGCCGGGCTCAGTGGCTCACATCTGTAATCCCAACACTTTGGGAGGCCGAGGCAGGTAGATCATGAGGTCAGCAGATTGAGACCATCCTGGCTAACACAGTAAAACCCCGTCTCTACAAAAAATACAAAAAATTAGCCAGGCGTGGTGGCATGCACCTGTAGTCCCAGCTACTTGGGAGGGTGAGGCAGGAGAATCGCTTCAACCCAGAAGGCAGAGGTTGCAGTGAGCCGAGATCACGCCACTGCACTCCAGTCTTGGCAACAGAGCAAGACTC